TTATATTTTTAGATGAAGCTTCAGTTATTGTCACTTAACAATCCTCTGTTACAGTCTTCCATTTGTGTCATAAATAGTTTCTCATCTAAATTTCTCTTCAGGTGGAGATTTCCACAAAGCCGCCTTCTCCGGGCCCTTTGCAGGGGCCTGAGGAGCAGCAAGCTAACAGTGGTCCTTGGTTAGACTGTGATCAGGTTAGCTATATGCTCCAGAGCTGGCTGCCTCTCCTGAAGACAGAAGAAGAGAAACAACATTTGTTAAAGGAAGCTCTAAACTATGTGCAGGAGGAAGAGGAGACAGAAGTGAGTACACAGCAGTGATGTGTGAAATCTAGTGAGGGGGGGGGATCTTGTTCGAATGGCGGAGGGTTGTCCGTATGTGCAGCATTGGTGGTTCAGTGGTAGAATTCTCGCCTGCCACGCGGGAGGCCCGGGTTCGATTCCCGGCCAATGCAGCAGCTTCTTTTTCTTTTGATGGGTGGTCTTTTGAGCAGGGGGTCTCATGTTCCAGCAGACAGGACAGACAAGTTGTTAAAAATCCATCAATCCAATCTATTCCTGCTATTTTGGCACAACCATGCTGCCTCTAAAAGCAGCTTACACATAGAGCATCAGCTCTTAAGTCAGCGTCGGGGGAGGGTCGAGAACGCTGCTCTGTGGGCAGACTGCACGCAAGGGAAACTGTTACTTCCTTTGTTTTTATCTTTAAGCCTGAAACTGTTATATAACTGATGAGAGGAGAGAAGTTTATGTTTTTTTAGTTGCTAGCAACAACCGTTAGACTGATTCCAGCAGATCACCAGCTAACGGTTTGCTTTAGAGCAGCTGTGCATGAGAAAGAATGTGGGAGTTTCTCCTAAAGCTGAATCATGAGTTAGTACCAGTAGATGTCCACCAGGTGGAGCTAAAATAAAGTGAATAAGTGGAATTTGTTCACTATATTGTTGTATTTTTTGCAGATGAAGGGCACGTAATTGTTGGTCTTTTTGCAATTATTGGCCAATTTGAATAGTTTGTGATAATGAGTTGGAACTTAAAAATAATCAGCATTTCTCATTACCAGGAGGGGGATCTAAAGATGCAGCAGCCTGCACTGTGATGCAGACAACCATTAGACATTTACCAACATATCTGGACACATATAGGGTTGAGAAAAATTCACAAAAATTAATGTGGTATTTCTTGTACTACTCATGCAAACTTATACAGTTGCTCCTCTAAGCAGCAATAGTAAAATAGGAGGAATAATGATGCATCCCCGAGTATCATGTTTTATGTATTTCCTAACAGCTCAATTGGATTTTCTTTCTGAGTCGTCTTTCAGCCAGCTGACTGGCAGTCTTTAGAAGTACTTAAAAAGTACTTAAACGTCTCTGTTTTCTGTCCTACATTAGAGGCTATTGGAGAAGTTCGGACCAGGGCCTGCTCAGAAGAATCCTGATTATCCTCTGGTCATCAGCTGCCATGATGAGAGGGTGCTACGATTACAGGACATTAACGTGAGAATTTATGCTCAAAAAGTTCCAACACTTTTTAAAATATGTTTGACTGTCTGTGTCCAGACAGAATAAGTTGATTTGAAACATTAACCTCTGCAGTTTCACTAAAGTTGCTGAGTCACCTACATCTGTGACCCATTCAGGTGGTTAAAGGTATCAATCCAGCTGAGGTAGAGTCATCCATGATGGAGAGTTTTCCAGCCTGGCAGCGCATTCTGTCTGTAGTCAAATATAGAAACAGCAACATCTGCTGGGAGGCAGTGAAACAACAGCTGAAGCACTACTGCACAGATGGTCAGAAAATCAGCTCACATCCCTGCTTCTATCCATCTGCTCTTTGTCTACACATTTGCTGTTTTTGTCCAAATTCTAAGTGATACTAAATTATTATTTTATGTAAATAAAATAGAGAGTGTTTCCTGGCCTGAGGTGGAGCGCCTGTTTCATCAGAGTGTGTTTGAGGCTATGATACTGACCAAGGTGGATCAGAACGGCGTTTTGCTGAATGCTCCTGAACCACAGCCAGTGCAGCAGCAGACACTAGTTATCCCATGGGACAATCCTGTCCTATATGCCAAACAGAAGCTTCAAACCGTTCAGACTAAAGGTTTGTAAACAG